CCAACTTGTCAAAAAAATAAATAAAGCCAAAGAGTAGATACATTGTTTTAGAATGAATAAAGGTAAGTGGTTAGCAGGAGGTTGAGCTTCACCCACTGGGTCTTCATTATCTCCTTGACAACAGAGCTTAAGTACCCCCCATCCAAACTTGGATGTTTGATCAGAAAAGAAAAGGATTTTATATTCTTTATATTATTAGTTGGAAACTGTTGAGCCCCAGGATCTTTTTGAGGTACAAAGACTTTTCCCCGTGACAGAAATTGAAAGCCAGAGGTCCTGCTTTCTATTCTGCTGAGCTCCCTCTCAGGTCGGGGCTCAAGCTCCATACGCAGGAAGTCCATCCATCAGGGGATCATTATGGCCTGATTAGCCTCCTGCTTTACACCACCGTAATCTGATTTTCTAGCAGCCTTTTTTACCCGGCACAACCTGGAGCCGACAGCTGACGATGCTTTATGGATAGTGAGTCAGAAAGTGCCCCACTCTGAAAACTAAAGACTTATTGACTCAAGTTTGCTAATTTTGATCCAGGTTAATGAAAGCCTTGAGGTTTAATAGCAGAACATGAGGTTTTATCTAAACATTTAGGATCTTAAAAGCTTTTTCTCTTTTCTGTTCACGTAGACTCCGTTACATCTGGATGCTCTCAGTGCACATCCTTAGAAGGCAGTTTGGTATTTTAGCAGATCCACACAGACAGACTTTAATTAGATTCTGAATATCAAAGACTCCCATGAGATCTGGCTAAATATCTCAAAAGTTTAATAAACAAGCTGTGGTTCCACCATGTGTGGCCAGAAGCCATTACATTTATCCCTTTTTAAGTCTATTATTGAGCTAAAGTGAGATAAAACCGTATAGCCTACTGAACAGGTTTGGTTGCTTGCTTTCTTTTGGCACAATTCTGCTAGGATTGCTCTGAGAATATTCAAGTTCTACTCCTCCTGGATCAACATGAAGAGACAGTAGAAATTTGCTTACATTGTGTCATTGACTCTACATCAATCCCTCACATCAAGCTTGCATGTAGAGACAGTTGGGAAGAAAAACTTCCATTTAACAGGAAGAAAACTCTTGTAGAACCAGGCTTTGTGTGATCGGCCTTCTGCCAAGGCTGATTGGAAGCGTTTTTAAACCCACTTCATGTTCACTAGTCTGCAAGATCCATATTTTATGCTGCTCAGGTAAAATGACAATCTGGAAATTTTTTCAAAGATATACTTTTTCTTTTGCACCGCAGATGGGTAATAATCAGAGAGATTTGTTGTGGACCACTGCCATATTTATCAAAAACAACCGTTAGGGTCCAATTCACAGGGTACTCTCTGCTCAAATTGTTTGTTTTTCTTGACAGTTTAACAAACCAATAGTTACTACAGTTCATTCATCAATTCATCCATCCATTGCTTAACTGCTTATTTTGGCTGGTGTCTATCTCCAGCACACATCAGGCGATGTGTGTGCTACCCCCTGGACAGGCCAGCGATAATTCACCGAGTACAGAGCAAGAAACCATGCATGCACACAGTGAGGAAAAGAAGTATTTGAACACCCTGCAATTTTGCAAGGCTCCCATGCTTTCCAAGTTCACGCCATGTTAGTAGTTGGATTCATACTGATTATATGGGGTGGACAGGTGTTTATACAGATAACAACCTCAAACAGGTGCATCTTATTTAGGATAATAAATGGAGTGGGGGTGGACATTTTGAAGGCAGACTAACAGGCCTTTGAAGGTCAGAATTAAATACATCCAATACTTATTTGCAGCTTTATCATACAAATAAATAGTTGAATAAAATCATATATTGTGATTTCTGGATTTTTTCTTTCGATTATGTCCCTCACAGTGGACATGCACCTACTATGACAATTTCAGACTCCTCCATGATTTCTAAGTGGGAGAACTTGCAAAATAGAAGGCTGTTCAAATACTTATTTTCCTCACTGCACATGTATACCTAGGAGGGAATTAAGAATGAACAATTAACCTAAGGAAGCTGTTTTTGGACTATAAGAAAATTTACTTCACAGAGAGAATATTTGAATACAGATGCAAAACAATAACTGAGATCCTTATTAGTTTTAAATGAACCAATAATAAATACCAGTAAATACAATGATGATAACTTCAGAGCTCTACTGACTTTCTGTATTTGCTTTCTGTTCTACAGTTTATGCCCTTATATTGTGTGGATCACAGAAGTCAAGAAGGAGAGAGCAGGGACAGTGACCACACTGGGATCTTATCCAAAAGCTGTGGACACAAATTGAGGACATTCATTTAGCTTTCCATCATCCTGTCTTTCCTGCTTGGCTTAAAGGCATGACAGACTGCAGAATCAGGAGATTTTACAGTAAATTAATACTGCCATGTGTGAGTAAGTGTGCGAGTGGGATGTTATTGATTTACAGAAGGGGTAGAAGAGGCAGAGGAGTTTAGCCTGAAGGGCTCCATCTGCACACAGCCAGACAAACAGAGCTGCCCTCCAAATTCAAACTGTTCTGACTGCGTGAGCAGAAAACAAGAGGAAAAGTTTCTCTGTAACCAAGAAAAAAAAACGGAAAAAAAAAAAACTGTGAAGTGGGATGTCGCTGTAGTGGAAACTGAAGACTTATTAGTCAGTCCCGCTTTGTTTTCTGCCTCCAGTTCGCTTGGTAACGAGGAAGTTGCAAGAATATTTATCTTTCCAAACATCAACCTGCAGCAACTCCTCCTGTTTGGTCGCAGGAGTTGATGCCTGCTGCAAGATAATTGTGTCCTTGTGATGAAACACTCACTAGAAGCAATGACAACTGCCATTGTAATGACTCTGCCTGTTTTTTTCTATTTTAGCAGCAAGGCTACAGGGATCTGCCAGCGCCTCCAGGAAACTATTTTCAGGGATAAAGTCAGCAGGGCATCTTGTGAGGACATGTCAGCTGGAAGCAGAGTGATGACTGCTGAGACTGATGCAATTTAAGGTGTCTGGAGGAAAGGATGTGATTTATGTCAGAATATCATGCAATGGAAAGCTTTACTAAAAGAGATCACATTAAAAATGAACAAAATGATTATTATTGACAAGTATAAAATCTGATCCTTTAAAAGTCCAATCTATAATTTTTCATATAAAATAATGGTAAAATGTGAGTGATTTATTATGTTTATTCTAGGCATTGTTTGGGGTCACAACTATCTGCAAAAAAAGCTTAATCAATAATTTTTTATAAAGAATTTATCTTAATCTGATAGCCACCCAGAAAGGTTTGAGTAAAAACCTATCTGCCCTCTGCATGTGATTGGACAGAGACAAAGGGCACCAATCAAAGGACAGGTTGTGATGTAGTATTTTAGATCTGAAACGGTGTCTCTTCTCAATTTTGATTACTGGAAATTCCAGTAGTTTAAACTTGGACATCATGATGTTGATTAAAAGGTGAACATGCCATTGTAGCGAATGGGCAATCAAAAAAGTATAGATATTTTATATTTTCTGTCGCATTATTCAGGTATTTGGTAAACAAAACAATAATCTGTTTATTTCAACTGAACCAAAGCCAGAATACTTTGGATAGATTTTTTTTGGTCAATCTGTAAAAAGCAAAAAAATAGGGTTATTTTCCTCTTTATACAGTCTTTGTAAATATTGGTTTGAGCTGTGCATGCATCATTTTATCTGGCTAAACTTGTATTTGTATCGAATGGAATCAAGGCATGAAAAAAATTGATCGGAGAAGGATAGGACAGTGCTGCTCCAGGATTTGTGCAGAAAACCCAAACAAACAGCTGATAATCTCTTTTTCTTTCTCCAAAGCAGAAGACAGCTATAAACAACCAGAACTGGATAAGGAAATTTAAAAAAGTGCTACAAAGACACTGAAGTATAGCATGGATATTTGTGGTGAAAATATAAAACAACCAGTAAATCAGCAGAGGAAAGCAAGACCTACTCCCAGTAAGATGGAAAGAGTAGTAAGGCTCTACGCTTACATTTAAAATTAGGTTTTCCAGATTTTCTGCCACCCTTGGATGTTCAAAACATAATGGAAAGCTTAAATCCACAGGTGGAGGGTTGTTTGGTGCAAATTAGTTTTTTTTTTTTCATTCTTTTTCCGAGTTTAAAATGAGTGAAAACATACCCACCATTTATTTCAAAGATATATAGAATTTTCTAAGGATTTATTCTTGAAGGGAAATATCTTGTGATCAAAATATCTTTCATAATAATTGAATAGCAGTAAATATTTGACTTCTATTTTTGTCGATATTGATTGATTTGTGTCAGATTTTTGTCATATTTTTGTTAATATTTTGCTTTTGCAAAAAAAAAAAATAGTTTAACCCTTTATAGGGCAAGTTACCATTTTTGTGTGTTTGCATACCCCTTATAAATGGAGTCCCCCCCCATCCCTCACTGAGGTCTAGAAGCACAAGACTTGTATCCAGGTTTGATACAAGTATTGTATCCAGGCATTAAACAAATATCATGCTACAGGTCTGTACAAGTTATTTTGGCATTTGATCAATTAAATGAGTCCTTGAACCAATATATTACCAACTGAAAATTAAGTTGGAAAAGAACGTAACAAGTTAAGAATAAAAGCTAAAAATCTAATTGAAAAGTTAAAAAATAGAGTAAAAAAGTTATTAAGCTAATTCTAAAAAGTAAAAAAATTAAGTTCCTGTATCAGCATTAATGCTCTTAGGTTATGTTGTAATAAAACAAGTTGTTTCTTTCGCTGTGTGTGTTTTTCATGAGTTTCTTATAGAAGCACTTTTGTTATTTTTCTTAATATATTAGGAAAAGTGGCCGTTTTTTGTTAATACATTAACCTTAATTTCTGTCATCAAAAAATACATATTTTTTTATTTCTCAAACGTATAAAGGTCTAACTAAAAAAATAATAAGGTAAAACTAAAAAAGTATAGATGAAAAGAATGTCCTTAAACCTTAGGGAGAAAAGCAAAGCTGTTAACTTCCTGTTTGGATTTTGAACCATCGAGTTGTCCTTCTTACCCTCTGAATTATCCGGACCTGGAGCAGAATGTTCCTGTAGCTGTGGCCGTCGTTCACCTGCAGCACGGCGCTGTCCTCCAGCACTGCTGAACCATCGTGGACGTACTGAATCTGCTCCCTTGCCAGTTCCTCCAGCTTGAATCTGCCGAGAGCGCGGTCGCCATGGAGACGGGTCAAACGGCCATGACGGGGTGGTTCGAGGACTATGACTAGAACATCTGCAGGATTGTCAGGGTCATCGACCTGCAGCACAGACTTGGTGATGGTGGCCGGGCTGCCGCGGCCGTCTAAGGTTAACGAAGCCAGGGTCACCACTTTTGGGGGCTGGAAATACAAATGAATGAGTTCTAAGTACAGAAGTAAGATTTTTATTACAATACAAATGACATAGAACTTCAAAATTCTCTCCTTTAAGATGTGAAACTGCTTCACATCTCAAGGGCTTAAAAGGCTGCTGAGAAAATATAAAAAATAGTCAGATATTATATTGTTTTCAGGGCAAAGCCACCTGCTGCAGAGTGAAATAGCAATTTTGAAGGCAAGAGGGAGGTTAACCTGGGCGCTTCATTAAGCTGCACTCAGCAGTGTCCACCTCGTTACCGTCGGTGAAAAGCCTCATACGGCTAACAAAGTCAGCGAGACGAGGAGACCTCCTGTTGTGAGAAACTTTCTACGGAGCCGTGTTTTGGTCTTTCACTGCCTCTTTACCTTCATACTTCTAATTAGAACATGAAGATCTGAGGTGCAGCAGGTGGCTTTACTGAAGAAAATCAGAGCTGTACTTTTCTCTACGAGAGAATCTTTATAACAAGATTAATTTTATGCATTTCAAAGCCATTTCTTCATTTTAACTACCAGTAGCAAAAATAACATCCAACTGATTTGTAGATTTTAGCCTCCCCAGACTACTTGTTTTGGTTTTGACCCTCAACATTATGGAATATATTGTAATGATACATAAAACAGTTTTAAAGGGGAAATGAAAAACAAAAAGTGTCACAAGTGTCATATCTCTCCTACATTCTTGAGACAAAAATGAGTATGGTTTAAAAGTGCATTTGTTTGAAACGTTCTTTTTAAAAGTTTAACAATGCAAAGCTGAGAGCAGAAAAATAACTTTCAGATTCCACATTGAGATTTGCTTGCAGGGCTGAGTGAATGTGCAAAGCTGCAGGGGGAGATGTGAGCTGTTTTCCTGAGAAAGCACCACCAGCTGTCAGGTCGGGAGCTCCGGGCTGCGCAGCAGGATGAAGAGCATGTGTCCAACATGCTGCATTCCTTGCCTGGCGGACCTGCCCCAGCCTTTTCTTATTAAAGGAGTCAAAAAAGATGCATTAAAAAAAGCTGGTGTGCTGAATATCTTTGATCGAGGACGACTAAAACCAAGATCTATTTACCGGGTTTTCTGCAAGTTCTAACGTAAATTTTGTACCATTTAAAGCACAAGAATTCAGGTTTAAGCCTCAAGAAATTGTAAAAATAATAAGAATATTTATCTCATATCTTAAGCAGGTCAAATATTTTTTTGCAGATCTGTTTTGTGACTGGAGTATCTTTACGACTAGATTACCAAAGCTTAGAGCTTTCCTAGAGTACAAAGCATGCGTCATAACACTTTGATGATGATTTACCGTTTTTAAAGCAAACCTGGAGAAATATAAACTCCTCCATGATGAAGAAGATGCCCTGACGATAACATAACAGCAATACATTGATCTGAGTTGCTTAAAACATGCAGTTTTAAGATTGTTTTATGACCAGAACTCTATCATAAGTCTGCAGGGTCTGGATGAAATCCTGTTAAAAAATTCTTTTGAACAGTAACTATTGATTCCCTGTATCATTTGTAGTAACCCACTGCTCAGGCTTTTTATGACCAAAAACAATTTTCTGTTTTCTTCAAAGTCTGTCCTGCTGATTTCTTTTTAACTGAATCAGACATCATTACTATTTCTATAAAGGCACAAAAAAGAAAATGTATTGCAGATTTGATGAGGCGAAGTTTTAAAAAAAAGTAAAGAAACTGTTAAACGAACCACATTGATTGCATCAAAGCATCCTTCCATGATTTTTATGTGCTTACAGACGTAAAATCATTGGAATTGATTAATATATAAAATGCTTTTTTTGGGCTGGCTGTAAGCTTATCACTCTCTGATTGGCTTCTCTCTGTTAAATAGGGTGGCAGATATACCTGCCTCTGTCCTAATCCCCCAGGCTGTGATCATGCCTATTACTACCTCTCTGTCAGTCTCTGCCAGAATGTCTCCTTGCCCGCACGAGATCCATTCTAGTTGTTATGTTAGTGATGGTGAGATGAAGCCGCATGAGGCATTGAACATTCAGGCCAAATTGATTCAATGAACCACACAGTTTATGAAACATCATGTGAACATGACACCACCTACTAGTGTTGTTCATAACTATAGTTATCAATATAATCTGTGATGTCTGCAATGGTTTTGCTTGTTTTTTTTATTTATTTTAATTCCCTTTGAAATTGTTAATGACTGATGTTTATAATAGAATATTTTGTAAAGTTTTGTGTGTTTAAATTGTCTAAAAAAATAATCTTTTAAGGTACACTATTTGTTTTCTGTCATTTTATTGACATAAGCTCAAGAAGACATTAAAAGTGCTTGTGCAACTTGGTCAATGATGAGCAAAATCAAATGTATTGGTCATTTTTATTCAAAAATATCAGTTTTTCCACAGTTTTTGGTTTTAATCTAGTTGGAATTTGTGTTCAACCAATCTTTTGGTTAAAACAACCAGTCTAATTTGGTAGTGTTTTTACCTAATCTATATTGTTAAAAGAGAAACCAATACAAATTGGTCACTTTGACCAAAATACTGGTTAAGTAGTTTAGTAATTTTCAAAAGCTGAGGCCAGAACTCGAAGCAACAACCCTCTGTGTGAAGGTTAAACTCCCTTAGTAACACCACTATCACCTCTATCTCTTAAAAATATAATAAAAATTAATATTAATATTACAGCCGGAACCAAAGACCTATTCTTAGAGTATATCCAAAATCTATCCAAACAGTCAACTGACTGTAACTCTCCTACAAACTCCAACATCTTGACTGAATACTGAGGCCGTTTAAATGCCTGTTGAAGTTCGAGGGCGATCTGAACCACTTCCCGAAGCGGTCACATGATTTGGCGGTCGCGAGGCTTAGGACATCATTGATTTTGGTTCCTCCCCTACATGAAGCTACTCAACAAACGCATCTAAGGCCCGGCTCATCTCAGAACATTACTTGATTGTATGCACACTCATCTTCTGACTCTGGTCACACCCTGGACTGTATTTGTCTGCCACCAAACTTTTCAGCCCACATTCGCCTTCTCATACTTTCTACCTGCATGTTTGCCTTTAACTAGGGATGCACGATATTGGGATTTTGGCCGATATCCGATATGCCGATATTTTAAAACTCATGCAGCCGATAACCGATATCGATACCGATGTTAAAGCTGGACAAAAATAAGTAGTCATTGAGAATAGCAGTTTTGTTATCCATTTCTGACACTTTGAAAAATAATATACTCAAATATATTTTCATATGCTGATATCAAATTGATTTTTAAAAACGCGGTATCGACCTATTTTACTTTCAAAATCTCGTGAAATTTCATCGTTCTGTTACAAACTCTCGTGATATTTTCCAAATTCCTGTGGGATTTTGTTAGTAAAATAGATCAATGCCGCGTCAATATATCAACATATAAAAATATGGCAAAATTTCATGGATTTTCGGGGGATTTCGTAGCATAACGATGACATATAGCAATATTTCATTAGTAAAAGAGATTGATATGGTGTTTTAAATAGTGATATATCAGCATATGAAGATATTTTGATAATGTAATGTATCAATATTTTTTCCCTCGTCTTTAGAAGTTTTTAAGTCTGTAAAAAAGAAGTTTTTGAGGAAGAAATAGTAGTATTTTATTTTATTTTTTTTAGACTTTAGAAACTCAGAAGCTGATCAAATATCGGGTTAAATATCGGTGTGGCGGCCGATGTCCGATATTCAGTTTTAAGGCCGATACAGGCTGATACCGATAGGGGGCCGATTATATTGTGCATCCCTACCTTTAACTTTAGTTCAGTCAGTAATTATCTAAAACTTTCAATAAACCTTTAAGTGCAACTTAAAACCATAGGCCTAATGGGTGAATAGTGGGTTATTTAAGGTGTTTTGCAGCATAAATAATAAAACCGTTCCTCTTCCTGTCTCAGGCCCAATGAGTGCAGAATTGAAGTAATGTTTGTTTTTTATCCTGCAGGGATTAATCAATAACACCTAAATTTCTTATTCAGAACAACAAAGCATAGAGCAAGGAAACAAAATGTTGATGGAAGAAGCAGTGAATGAGTGTGTTCAAATTTAAGACATCAATAACTTTATGTAAAGACAAAGTATAGAGAATATGTAAGCCCTAAAATTGATATTATATGACACTTAAAGACCTCCCAGAAACTATTCAGAGCAACAATTGTGCCTATTTCTGGGTGAGTTCATCAGACAGATAACCGACACTGGCGCCGACCTAGATCTCTGTTCTCCCTCCTCTGCTGCACACAATGAAACATGCTGCTGGTACCTAGGAGTGGTAGCATGGAAGGCTTTGAATCATGCTAAGACACGCCTGCAATCTAAAGAAACTGCTGAAATATCCCCCCTTGAGGCAAAGGAAAACAATCAGAGGCAGAGGCAGGTGGGAGAGCCAACCTTTTATCCTGCACAGGAGAGGTGTGCAGCTCAAAATGCCACAGCTCACGTGCGTTGCTGCAGAAAGGCCGCTTCAGTTAAAACAAATTGTCGGGTTTGTGATGGGGTTAAAACTCCCTTCTCTTCTCGCAGAAAGGTGCCAGTGACTTCTATCAAAACAAATACACTAGAGCATAGAGAGCTCTCACAGCAGAGCTAACTTCTCAGAGACCGTCTCTTAAAATCGAACAAGATTCTGATGTGAGGCCACTTCAGTAGCAATCAGCTTTGAAATAAAAGCAGACACTGCAGTTACTTTCAAGAAAATATAAGCTTCACTTTAGAGCAAATTTCAAGGCTTCAACAGTATCTAGTATGCACACAGTTCAGACTGGTTTTCTGTCTGTCTGCTGTCTTATAAAATTGGAGAAAAACCTGAAATGCTCAAAAAATGTTCGCTTTTCCTGAAGAGCAAACTTTGAAATTATCTGCAGACATGTTTAAATTGTTATTCAAGTTTTTAAATTGACAATTAAGAAAAGAAGATGGTAAAATAAAGAAATGAGACTGGTTAAACTGAAGAAAAAAACAAAAACCTTAATGGATAACAACACTCAAACCTAAAAGTCAGAACAGTTTTCATATTTCAGTTCTTTCTTAAAAGAATTTGAATATCTGCCATTTAGCAAATCAAATAAAGATACACAGTAAGAAATAAAAAAATTGTTGCTAACTTGTTTCTTATTTGCTTTACATCTTTCTAACTCAAACATAAGGTTCGAGAAATAGCTCACTGGTTGCTGAGTTCCAGCTCTAAAGAGTGAGGAAGGACTCAAGGCAATGCGGTCTTGGAAAAAAAAAAAAAAAAAAATTATAAAAAAAGAATAATTTTGGACCAGTGCTTTTGTTTTCTTTTTGTGTGTCTAACTATTAACTGTGACCTTTTATAGCAAGAAAATATTATTTTTGCTTCTTAGTATTTTTAAGAAAAATAAAAAATGTCCCCAAATATAGAAGGACACTGATTTGGATTAACAAAATCAATCCATATATGAATGAAATATTCTCACTGAATACTTTGTTCTGTATAAAGTAAAATGTGTTGACAACAGAAACACACAAAAATAATCAAATCTATTAACCAATCCAGGCCTGGATTTGGAGTCACACACCAAATAAAGTGGAAAAACTAATTACAGGCTGATCCAACTTTGATGCAATGTGTCAGGGTCTTGGTCTGTTTGTTCCTGTTTTTCTTGGTTATCCATTTGTTGTCCTCTTCTGCCCTCTTGTGTCCTCATTTGCTCTGTTTCTCTGTCCTGCCTTGCACCAGTTGTCAATTTCCTCGTCAGCTCTCTCTTTGTCTCTGTCCCCTTTAAAAGCCCTCCCTCTTCAGTTCCTGTTTGCTGGATCCTCGTCTAACTTCTGTCTGTGTTCCTCGTCTCTCCCTGGCTTCTAGTTTTGGTTTACCTCTGATGTCTCCTGGTTCTGGTACGTCTGTAATTTTCTGTTGGACTCTGATTCCTGCCCCTGGATCTGTTAACCTGAATAAACAGAACTTATTTCACCTCTGCCTACCGGTCTCTGCGTTTGGGTCCTCCATACAAACACCTCGATCATGACACAATGTCTTTAAAACAGGTCAAAATAAGGCTCAGTATTGTGGTGTGGGCCTCCATGTGCCTGTATGACCTCCCTACAATGCCTGGGCATGCTTCTAATGAAGTGGATGGGCTCCTGATGGTCTCCTCCCAGACCTAGACTAAAGCATCCGCCAACTCCTGGACAGTCTGTGGTGAGATGTGACATTAGTGGATGGATCGAGAGATGATGTCAGGAAGTACTGACACACTCCAGCGGGGTCTAGCATTGTCCTGCAGGGCCAACTGCACCACCATATGCTCTCACAAGGGGTCTGAGGACCTAATCTCTGTACCTAATGGCAGTCATGCTACCCCTAGTAAACACATGGAGGGTTGTGAGGCCCTCTAAAGAAATGCCCCTCCACACCATTACCTACCCACTGCCAAACCGGTTATGCTGAAGGATGCTGCATTCTTATGGAGTTGGTTTCAAACCGTTTGTGCAGAAACATGCACACAATCATGCTTCCTAAGTGGACAGTTTGATTTCATAGAAGGTTAAAGTTATAATGTGTTCTTTATGTGTTCCCTTTATTTTTCGAGCAGTGTATCTAGACAAAAGCCATTGAAGCTGCAATTTCTCACTTAGGCTGCGATCACACTGCAGACTGAAACGACCCAAATCAGACCTTTTTTTGCCCATATTCAACCAGTATCTGACCTTTTAATGACCATCTAAACATAGGTACGGTTTTTTTTCCAAATGCAACCCAGGTCACTTGGCTATTTGACCCTATTTGATGTAACCTATGTCTGTACGGCTAGTTTGCATTCATCCACCCCAAAGTCATTATTATTCAACAATTCTGTGTCCTAGTTTGCGAAAGATGGATGGAAAAACAATAACCATGGCAGATAATAAAGCAGAGAGTTACCAATGGAGAAAGTAAGGGTTCTGATATAATAAAAATTCAGGAGATATTGTGCTGCCTCAACTTAGAAAATAAATTAAAGATCACAAGATGCCCCCCAGTATTACCATCCATGTTTACTTCCACAAACACAGAGCATGCTCGCTACTTGTGACCTCATTAAGTTGTACGAACGCAGTTCACAAGGGAGATCACATAAAAGTTGCATATGTGAACGATAGTGCAAAATAATGGATTTCACAAAAAAACAGAATTGAGCATTAATGCCTGCAGTGTGAATGTTGCCTTTTAGTACCTTAGTATCAGACGGCTCAATAAATGAAGAGAGTTACTGTTTACCTGCATGGATACGGCCTGAAGTTTAACTGTAGCTGGTTGGGAAAACATCTGGGGGTCTGCAACACGTAAGATAAACTCACCAGTCCTAAAAAAGGGGAGGAGGACATTATGAACAACTGAAAAGCAAATGATTCCAACAGCAGTTTGGTTTAGATACGTGATATTACCCTGACTGATCAGGACATGCACAGCCTTTAAACCGCGGGGTAAATGGAAATGAGTGTGGGTGATTAGACCTAATCACCCTGCTGGAGAGGAGATGAGGACAGTAGCCCATCTCAGCACACCTGCCCTCATCCGTAATGTGTCACCATCCGGCCTCATCATTAAAGGTTTATTAGCCTCAGCTCCCTGGAGCTAGAGCTGGGAATCAGTCAGTCTGAGCACCAAGTGACCCAGCAGGTTGGAATAAATCATGCATAACACAATGACCACTCAAGACGACATTAAAAGTAGTGATAGGACAGTCTCCAGCTGAAATGTGAGCTCACTGGATGAAAGTTTATTGGGTAATTTGTCAAGCAAGGAGGAGACGGTCAGAATAAATATCTGAAGGACAGCACCTTGGAGACGTGTCACCCCAAAACTCTACCCAGGGGTTTCAAAGTGCTGTGTAGGGAGCCAAATTTGCCTATGATGCATTAATAAAAACATAGAAAAATTCAACTCAGATGTGGTAAGGATACTTGAAGATTTTCTCATCTAAAAATAATGTTTAGATTAGGACTGCTTTCAAAAAAGACAATGTATACAAACTAACAATATTTAAATTATTATTTTTTTAGGGATTATTTTAAGAAAAACACAAGGAAAATAATATGCACCGGGGAAAAAAAAAAATCGAAATCTAGATAAGTCATTCTTTTCTTAAAATAAGTGCTTTTCTTCTTGGACAGAGGAGGTAAAAGAGATATTTTGCCAATGGAACAAGAAAATTTACATTTAAAATAAAAAAAAACACAATGGTATTGTCTTATTTCAAGTGTATATTATCAAAATATCTTATCTTAAGAGTAGAAATAATCATTCTATTGGCAAACTATCTCTTTTCCCTACTCAAGTTAAGGGTAGATACACTTAACTTAAGACATTTTTTGTTATTTTTGGATCGTTTTTCCAGTGTAGAAATTCCAGTATTTTTAAATGAACTGTGAAAGGCACATAAAACAAATTGGAATAAGGGACATTTTACTTTAGGGGTCTTTGTTGTTATTTTGGTCTTTAAACAAAGTTATGCAGCTGCACCTCTTAATTACTCCATGCAGCATCACGGACCGTTTCTAACCATCTCATCTGTATATTCAAGCTCTCGATTTATTGTTTCTCTTTTTCTTCTACTGAAATTTGAAGCTCTTACACCACATCCCCTCTGTGCCATTTTATATTTCTACAGTCCGTTTCAGGTCCCCACGTTGCTTTTATCCCCTACAGAACTATGACTCAGCACATTAAACATAGTTTTAAAAGGTTAAAGCAGAATAAAGAAATGACTTTCTTTAAATCCACATTCTGAGAGAAGAATAAAAAAGAGAGAAAAAAATAAATTCAATCTGTTTTCCTCCTAAATGTTTCAGCTTCTGAAAGTTTCTTGAAAAATATCAAAATTGCAACACATAAAATGCTTAATATATTCACATTCAAAAAAATTGATGACATGGTGATAATGTAAATTTGAAGCCTTTAACCATTACATTTAACAAAGTATTAATAGATGGCTTTCAGACTAATTATTTTAAAAGCTATTCTGAACCATCGCTGTGTCCCTTAAAAAGAAACGAGAAGCCAAATGAAAGCATGCAGGTCTAAACAGTGGTTGTAGATAGTTTTAAAAAGCTGTTTACAGCTTTGAGTCTGCAAGCAATATCCAGCACTCCATATAATTTGAAAAATATGGCAGTAATAAGTCGATTTAATCTTATTGGGAAGCTTTCATTTTAATGTCTCTATTAATCTAAAAGCCTTAAACCAGGCAACAGTTCATATTCTCTTCATTTTTTGGCTCTCTGCTATATGAGGCCACACCAGCTGCATTACAATTGAATAAACTGTTCATTAGGTGACTGGATAAATAGACACTGGAGTCCAGAACCGCACAGACTTATTTCAGGGCCGCTGCAGCATTCCAAAAACCGCCCGATGGCTGGGCTTTAAAGAGACTACACAGTCACTTTGATCCCTGCTGCTTAGCGCTCTCTATGTAAATAGATTAGGGTCAAAAGAAACAAAAAAAGAAAAAGAAAAACCCTTACAAATATTGCTTAATTTTATTTTTAAAAAATCTGATAGATGGATACCCACTCTACTTACATATAGGCTTATAGAAATGGATTTATATACTGCACAATGAAACTAATGCGGTGTACTTTTTGTTTTTGGTTTAAATGACAAATATACAAACTTTTAAGTTAATTTAAAAGCCAGAAAGACTGTTAAATTCCTTCTCAAAGAGTTTCTTACCTAAAAGGGTGTGGTGACATTTTTTATACTTCTTTAAAATTTGGTTCCATAGCAACACGTTAAGTGGCAGTATTGTTATGTCATAAACACATAAGAACATGTGAACAATTATGATGTTTAATTTTTTTCCCCCTAGGGCTCACAGATTGGCCTCTAACAGCACTGAGGGATAAAATCTATTTTCATGGCAACAACATGGACAATTTTTACTCAAAGGATGTCAAAGCTTATTTTCTGAATTTGACTTTGTATCCATATTTTCAAGAACCAAAACTTACATAGAACCTCTCAACATCCACATCATTTTGGGAAATTCTTGCCTATTTTGCATGCCCAAATGGAAAAGCAAATAACTTAGGAACTGTAAGCCCAAATTACATGTGTGATACATTATTTGAAAGCTAACACCTTCTACTTTCTGAATATATACATGAAAAAAGGTCTGTAAAACACAGACCAAGCTGCATCAGTTCAAACATGACTCAGAGTTGTTTTTTAAAATCTTTTTTTAAATAGCAGTAATAAAGGCATGCTTGCTTGTTGTGGCTGCTTTGTCATGTTTACATTTCAACATGCTGCTATATCTGTGTTAAATGTTCTTTGGTGCTCGCTGTGTCTAAAACGAACTTAATGGTTGAAATGTTTGGAGATATAATATTTCCAACAATGTCTAACACGTCTATATTGGTAAACATTTTACCAGTGTCATTTTCATGCATTCTAATGTATTAGTTATAAACGCTTTAAAACAGGTTGCCGGAAACCCGGTGGGTTTTGAGAGGTTAGAAGTATTGATTTGTGTCACCAAGACAGTTTATTGTCAAGGCATCATTTTAAATGTGCTTTCTGCTCCCTCAGGGGTAAAGCTAAGTAACTTACAATATAGCCATGCATCCTATCTCTATGTCACACTTAAAGGAAATACTTTAAAATGCGCCAAACATAAGAAACCAGCAGACTGAGGTCATACAGATTAACCTAACTACTGTCATAAATCAGAAATCTCACTTTTTCAAAGCTTCCTTTAATTCTGAGAAGGTGAAGTTAATCACAAAGTTCATAGCAACAGTTCCTCAAAGGATGAGAGATGAGAGTTGTCAGGTTTTATGCTATGAAGCATAGACTTAGACAACTTTTATTGTTGTGTTGTACACACAGAGTGCTACTTAGCATGTAGCTGGGACGAACGTGGAAAGTTATTGTCATATAATCCCAGGCCACCATCTCTGGTATTTTGGGTTGGCCAAATCAGAGCAGTAAAAGAAAGACACATGTTTAAATACAGGGTTGCATTACAGCAACGTAACAGAGAATGAAAGGTAATTTAATGTAGAAGGATCTAGATTATATCCCTAACCCAAGAGCTTTTAAACCAATTAGCTTCAGTTATTCGCTTTGAATGGGCTTTTCCCCCCTCAGAGCTGGAAGTAAGGCTTAATATTTCCACAAACTACTTCATATAGTATCGTAATCAATCAGGAAATAATAATTCACAGATCTTGCATTTATCAAATAGTTTTCTAAATGAGTTTACAAGGTTCAAGAAGCCGCTGTGGCGGCCTGAAGGCTTTGAAGTTTGTTGGATGGGAATAGCTTTTTGGATTTAGAGGAGAATTTTAAAGGGAGTTTACCCTGTAAGTCTAAGCAACAAAATTTATGATTTATAGGTGCTGATTAAGTTATCACACAAAAAAAAATTATGAAGGCATTAATGCACTTATTACTTTTTCTAATATTATGCATTTGATTCCAGTAGGAATTCAATTAAAAACTCCATATTATTATCAAATGAACTGAAATAAGTAAATAATTACAAACATTTTAATAAAATACTTCAAAAAGAACCTCAGTCACTGAAACCTGGAGACCTGAATACAGGGGTGTATTAGCTGAGTTGGCAGGAAGGTATAAAGAGAGGGGAAGCGTGAAAATGAGCAATGCTGGTTTAGATTATTATTTAAAATGATATTAGAGCAAAATATGTCTGACTCATTTGGCTTGGCTGTATAAAGTGGAAACAGATTATTAAACTGTTTTCTGCCCTGTGCACACCTAATATCACCAGTAAGCCGTCAACTTGGTTCACATCGAGAGAAAAATCCTGAAGTGAGAGCAAAGACTTAGGTTGTAAGAGAGAAATCTATTTTTAAGAGGAAATATTCTCCCTCTGATTGCAAAAAAGGGACCAATATTTGAGAGTAAAAATATATTTCTAGAGTTAGTTTTTTTCTACCTTAGAAACCATGTTCAAAATGTCAATTTATCTTTTATTCATTCTAAAAGAAAATCTTTTCTCTCAAAACCTTTTCTTCAGTCTCAAATAACATCAGTTTTTGCTTTTCATTTTTTTAAAAACTATTTTCCCCTTTCAGATAAATTTTTTTTACTTCAATTTAATAAAAACACAAAAATAACTCCATAGCTACGCAAATTAAGAGCTCAAGTTATTTTTGGTTAATTTTGATGCTGGATCCAAACAGGCATGATGAGGAAGAAGCCACAGCAATTTCAAGCAGCATTTGTGAGCAACAGATGTAGGCTCAGGTATGATTTAGTGCTACATTCACATTTAATTCAGTACAAAAAGGCGAATGTATTTCACCGTCAGATCAAGGATGTTTCAGAAGCGTAACGCATCCAAGTCTCTTTGAAAGTGGATCAAGTACAACTATTTGGTCCAGTTCAAGGTCTGCTTAAGTTTATTTACACCTGCACAGAATTTCCTGTCCAAAGAAATAAACAAACTCAGCTCTGCTTAAAGTGGACTAAAGGTCGGAGATGTAAATAGAGCCTAAACATTTTTTTATGATCACAGCAGCAATCTAAAGGTATCCCAGGTCATCACAAACAAGTATGAAAAATGTGTTTTCGCTTGTATGCAGAACTACTCCTTGCACTAGGACCCTTCTTGTTTATAATATGGCATAATTTTTACAATCTGCAAAACTCCTTACCTGGCTTTGTTTTTCAGGTGCTTGAAGTGAACTCGGCCAAGCTTTAACTGTACCCATGTGAAGGTCTCTTCTCTGTTCAGATCTCGCCTTGTTTTTCCTCTGTTTTCTCCTGCTTCCTCCTCCATTAAAAGGACCAACTCTCCATTTTTCGGTGTCTGAACAATCTGAAAGACCATCCTCTCAGAGGGACTGTCTGGATCCCTCACCTCCAGCAGAGAGGGCAGCAGAGGAGCAGAGCCGCCGATGGGAACCAGCAGGGAGCCGTTAATGTGGAGCACAGGGGTGTGGTGGTTCACTGTGAAAAAAAATATCTACATATTAGGCCTATTTGTATTTTATATACTCTAATAATCCCAGAGGGAAATTACTTCTCTGCATTTAACCCATCCCCTTGGAGAGCAGTGAGGTGCCATTGTGAGGCGCCCAGGGAGCAGTGTGGGGTTAAGGGTCAGGGACCCAGAGTGGCAGTCTGTGGGGGATCGATCTCACAACCTTAGGATTCAAAGCTCTATGCCCTAACCACTAGGCTGCCACTCCCATTAGCTAGATGAGCTCAGATGATGAAGTATTAACACATCCCTCAATCCAACTCAACCTCACTATTTTAATTCATGACTTCAATCCAACACAGTCAGTAAGTCAGTGAATGAGTCAACAAAAATACTTTTTTGTATTTTGAGAGGACCAATCTGATACCTGGATTGCACATCAGCTCCACTATAGCCTCATTAGTTGAAACAGATATCGGTGATTTGATAAGCTGTTATTGGAGATCTAATCCAGTGAACTTTACATAGAAATTTTCTTTCTTTCTTTTTTTCTAATTATTTAATAATACACAGACAGACAGACAAACAGACAGACAGACAGACAGACAGACAGACTGAATCCCAAGTTGGGAAATTGCTGTGTAGCAGCAGCTTTACTCATAGTAATAGTCACAACACAGTGAGGTAAAAAGTAAAGTAACATCTAGACGTATTACAATAGAAACGCAATATAAAAATGTATAAACAAACAGTACTGGTTAAAGTACAAGTAAAATAAAATAAGTATAAGGTGCAGTAAACAGATTAGATTTTATATAATGTATCATGATTTGCTACTCTCTGTTTATGTCGAGGTTAAAGCCTTCACTCACATGGCAAAAAATGTGATTCATCGATTTATTCATTCATTCAACAGTTGAATCGGATCGGTATCGGATGTTGGCAGACATGCTCAGCTCAGGTTTCGGCAGCGGATTGGATCAGAAAAAAAATGGATATTTTATACCGAAAATGTAGAGCTAAAAAGCAACCCTCTAATGATTTGAAACCTTAATCCTTTAGACCTAAACCTTTGCAATCACAAAAAGTCTATTACTAAATCTGCATACCACTATCTAAAGAAAAAAATGTTAGGATGAGTGGGTACAGACCACCTACATACCATTGGTCAGGAAATAAAAAAGATATTATATTATATCAAAAACTTCTGAGCATTCATAATGAAAGCATAATCATTGGTGTCTAAATAATGGAATGCATCTATTTAAATAATTTCAATAATCTTCAATAAAAAGAAACAACAAAACACAAAGCTTGTAATTACTGTAATTAGTATCTTTTTAAAAAACTTTTCAACGGTTAAAATTAATAAGGAAAATTGCAACTGGGTATGAGTGGGTGTTAGGGGTGAGAAAATGCTGCGCACTGAAAATAGGGGTGGGAATGAATTGAGAGAGGGAAAAGAAATCGGTGTGAAACAACTAGGAGCTGGTGTGGCATTTTAGAAACATTCTCTAATTGGAGCGGGCTGAACTTTACACGTGAACTTTTAAAGATCAGCCCCTTCTTCAGATGCTTCGATGTAATCTCATTAGATCTTCTCTAATGATGCCAACAGCCACTCTTAAATTTCAATCTTTCAGACATTTAATTATTTTTACAAATGGGAAAAACTTTTTAATTTAGAGAAAAGGTTTTTTGGGTGTGTGTCAAAAATAATCTCACTGCCTTTTCTTTCCTTCTCTTTTTTGAGACATGAATTAGCTCATGCCTCCAGGCCAAAACTGTTCATTATTTCAGAAGAAAGGAGCATTTATCTCAAAGGAAACACAATAATATTTTTTTCTGCTAGGATTACACTTTAACACATTTATTTCATGAATCGTTTCACAGCCGTAGCCTTTCCCCTGGTGGCCTGCGGCACCGCTGCTTGTAGGTTCACGAGATCCATTTAAAGATAAATGAGAAAATAAGTGTAAGGCCCCATAAGTGACTGAAGTGTGCACTCAAAGCTTTATTCTTAGTGACTCACAAGGACAAATTAAATCTATATGTAACACAGTTAATATAAGCTGTCTACATTGACAGATGCGTGAATCTGCAATTCCACTGCTTTTATAATAAAGTTCTACAAAATATCATCAATTCTGACATAAAAATTCACAATAATGTGAAACGATTAAGTTGATCCAACTGCAATATATAATGCACAATATTTGAGCTGAGCTTAATGGAAAAAGGATGTGTTGTGTTTATGTAAACACAAACTGAGCACGTTTTGTACATATAAGCAGAGAAGCAACTCAGTCATCCTCCCTTTGTTACAGAAATGTTATACTAATAGAATTCCAAGTCATGTACCGTCTGTTGGACGCTTACATGAGCAGTGTTGGGAGCATTAGTTGAGAACCACATTAGCAATATTTCCTTTCATAAACTGGGTCATATGATTAATTATTTTGCCCATATTGATAATGAGGCTAATACAACTCAGTCATCTGAACCGACATTTCAGAAGAACAAAGGCAAGAAATTCCTGCAATTGGCAACTGATGCCTGGGACTTAATCCAAACACATTACTCTACAAGGAACACTAGTGAGAAGAAATATTTCATATCGTCTCACCCTTCACTGACCTTAGTTTTCCAATACAATAGGCTTTACTTTTCAGTGTTATTGCAAGCTGTACCCTACCACATTTGATTTGTTCTATAATTTCATGTTAAACAAACACAAAATCATTATTTAATCAAATATATCACAAATTATAGGTTTCCTGACTGACTTGTCTCATTAACCCCCTAAAATTGTATAAATCATTTTACAATTTACAATTACAGATGTTTTATTTAACTATTGAACTCCTCCACCTACTTTGATCACAATGCAAACATTTTCTGATAATTTCTCCTTCAAAAGATCTAATCTGCACAGTGACAGCAGCCATTGTTTAACTATAAAAATATCAGAGTGGTGAAAATGTGTTTTTGGATGCAAGAAGTTTTGGACGTTGTTCTGGCCACCTATGTACATATACCTTCATTTGAAAAGCTCAAACAACATTATAGAGAACTTTTATTATTTGAAACTCTTTTAACTGATTAGCACCAGGATATTTGAGGGATTTAAGTAGTTTTCCAACAAAAACACAGCTCATTTGACGAAAACAACTACAGTAACTAACTTTCCATTTATGGTATTATGTATGCACTATATGTATTATGTGACACTACGGGTGGTTGTTAGCTTAACTCTAACTGACCTTTAAGCAGAACTCATTAGCTCAACAGCTAAAAGCACACTCCCAAATAACAAAAACCTATGCATTATGTCTGCTCTGATTAGCTTTAGTCTCAGTTGCTAGAAACTTTTAAATAAAGAGCATTATCAGAAAACCTCAAATTTAAATATGCTGCTTTGGGGTGAGCATTACATTTAAAAACAGTGTTCTCCAGATTTAATCCAGCAGCAATAAGCTATTAGTTTTACCCTTAGAAGCTCAGTAGCCTATAATGTTACTGTTGCCAAGCAACACGCCATGTGATACTTCATTGACATCCCTGGATCACCTGCATCATTTATGAACCAATCTCTTAGTTTTATTTGCTTGATATTACTTCCAATGAGTGCTAAAATTATGTAAGACAGTGAAAGTGTCATTTTGGGTATTAGAATCAGTGAGTTTTAACATTTCTATTTACAAAAAGACAGGAATCTGGAAGTGGAGAACTGGAGGGATTCAGTTGAACTTTCTGGTTGGACTGAGGGGAGAAAACAGACTGATCAGGATGGAAATGGTTGATAACAACTGATGATCTAGTGATTCGCTTACTTGAGGGATGAAGAGAAAGTAGCATGGATCTGTTTGGGTTTGGTTAATCTGGCTTTGCAGAGTGTAAGCCAGATGACTAAACAGGACAGGCTTGGTCAGAGAGACTCGAAAAACCGGATGAATCTTTAAACGATCCGTTAGCTTGGGAAAAACCACAGAGCAACTGAACACAGCTTGGATTTCAAATGCACCAATGTTTGTGGTGTTTGACAGAGGTAACTACCATGTCCTGCTCATCAAATGGAAACAAGGGAAGGTGGTATCCTAGAAAGGACTCAAAATGAGACAGAGGAAGTGTGACAATCATGTCCATATTTGACCAAAGGCAGCTGAGCACTCCATGATGATTAGTGTGACGAACAGATGCAGCAGAGGGTTCATGTGTTTGGATTGACCATTAGTATGGGGATATAAACCTGAATTAAGAGCGGTCTTGGCCCCAACAGAAGTACAAAACTCCTTCCAGACTCTGGAGATAAATTGCTCAGCAGGATTTCACAAGGGATTATGTGAATGCAAGAAACCCACTTAGTCAGAAGCTGAGATATCTCAGGGGAGGATAGAAGTTGACGAAGAGGTATTAGGTGGCAGGCTTTGGAGAAGTGGTCGATTATAGTGAGGGTGGAGGTGAAACCTTTAGATGGTACCCCAGGACAAAATCCAACCTTGGATATTTAGCGATTGGCAATGGTTGAGGAAGACCACAGGGGGGCCGGTAGCTTGGTTGCAGGCACACACTGGATAAGCTAGAACTTGGCTTTTAACATCCTTGTATTTTAAAGGCCACCAGAAAACTTAGTTTGAGTGTGAGATTTCGGTAGATTCCAAGATGGCAGTAGAATTTTGCTGTGTGGGCCCAGTGAATGAGGCAGGCCCTAATGGAAGCAGGAACATAAACCTCATAGGGAGGTCATGTTCTCCTTCAGCGTCTAGGACCTGGTCCTTTAAGGACAAAAAGGCGCCCACAATGCAGGAAGTTTGAATGACGATTAAGATATCAGATTCCTGGTCATTGCAGTATTGCCTAGACGGGGCATTAGAGGATCTTACCAGTTCAGGTGAAGATTATAAAGGGTGAGCCAAAAGTACCCTAAAACAATGGGAGGTTGGGGTGGAGAGAACAGGATAAAAAATATTTCTTCAATATGATTGCCTGACATTAGAATTTTTGTCTGGTTCAATTCAGTGCATGATTACATGCAGAGAAATTTATCTAGAGACAAGACATGAAATGGTTCGGGTAGACGTACAACAGGAAGAAGTAATTGTTCAGCTAAATTGAGAGCAGGGTAAATCTGAAATGCAGTGACCCCTCTCACTACAATACAAAGTCCAGTTTTCATCAGACATTATCTTTCATCAGGTGGGTAGAACCAATTTGCATCTGTTCCTCTAGATCTGGCTTGCAGAAGTTTGTGAATGTTCTGGAAGATGAGATGAAGGCTTGGGTGTGGGAAATTGGCAAAATAAAAATGAAAATTTGCGCGAGGAGTTAGCTCAGTAACAGCGGTCGCAAGGTCTGTAGAGGGCATAGACTCCACGGACTAAACATTAATAGTCATATGTGTCCTAAAGCCTGTGTATGAGGTTCATAAATGAAAAAATCCTTTCACCTTCATTGCTTTTCTCCACCTCTTAGCTAATTTGAGCTCAAAACGCTGTTTCAAAAGCATTCCCTTTATGATGTCATAAGGGGAATTAAGCTTCCCTGAGCAGTCTGTAGCAGCCCATTAGTCAAGCTATGGCCTTCATCTAATTTAATTTTTCATGCTCCTAGGCTATCTTAACAAACTTTGACTGGTTGTCATAGGTATAGGGTGTGGGGTTGCAGCCTTCTGAAGGACAGGGACATGGAAAGCCAAAAAACAGCTTGTTCAGAGGAGGGCTGAATAAGCAGATTTCTGATCTTATAGGAATTTCCCTGCACATTTATTTTTGAATGTAGCAAATAGCTTAGATTCTTATTTAAATTACAAACCTCTCCTTCACATGATTTTATAGAGGCATTATGCCATTACCGTGGCAGGCTCTCGTCTTCTGATCAGCATAGTATCCATGTCCACAGTCGGGGGTGCAGTATCCTTCCATAAGGAATGTCTGATCACGACACATTAAGCAGCGTCCCACCCCGTCACACTGGACGCAATCCGATGAGCAAGCTGTAGAAAAACAACAGAGGTCAAGGCTAAGCAATATTTCTTTCCATTCTATGCATTACCTACTAAAAAACAACAAAACTTTAATGTTCAATTCAAATGTTTTAACATAAATTTAATTTTAACTTATAATAGATAAAAGATTAATAAATGAAATAAAACAAAGCTAAGTTGAATTTTTTAAATGTATAGAAGTGGTAATTCTTACACTTGCAGACTTTAGAGGAGGAGTCCAGGAAATAATTTCTGCCACATTCGAGGACACATTGTCCCTGCAGAGTGGCGTAGGGAGGCTGGCATTCCAGGCAGTTTCCAGGCCTGTCACACTTCATACAGTGATCGTCGCAGCCTGAAACACACAGACATACAAAAAGAGAAAACATCTCACTGTAACTTAGCTTATGTCTTTGGACCTTTCAGACAGTATTTGCATAAGTATGACAGTATTTATTGCCAATTATGTTCTTTACAGGTAGAATCTGTTACCTCTAAAATAAACTGGAGTTTAGATAAACAATACAATCTGGTAAACTACATTTTTTTCACATATGCCAAACTGGGCTTTTTCTGAGCTCAAGACAGGGTTTGCCAATGCCCAAACTCTGATTGAGCCAGATCCAGAAAAAACGTTTTTCCTTGAAGATGATGTCTCTGATTTAGGGGTGGATGCAGTCCTTTCAATGCATTGATGACGATAATAAACTTCATACTTGTGTCTTCTTTTCTTGCTGTTTAACTCAAGCAGAACAAAACTACGATGTGGGTGATAGAGAGCTTTTAGCCGTAACAACCTAGAACTTAGAGGTTCACAGTGGTCTCTGTTCTTTCCCCGTTTTATGTTCGTGGTCTTTTAATTTCCAGGCAGAAAAAAAACAAAAAAACGATGCCCTGTCTAGGCAATACTCCAGTGACCAGGAGCCCCACCCTGGCAGTGGACCTCCATACTGGGTTTTATGATTCTGCCATCCTGGAATCAATCCAACTGTCGCACACTTTAAAAAATAATTCTGGTGGCCTTGTTCTAGTCTATCCAGTGTGTGCCCGCAACAAATTGCTAGTCACAAGCCCCCTAGTGTCCATCTTCAACCACTGCCTATCCCTACACATCCATGGATAGATTTCATTATTGGACTACTACGATCAAAGGGTTTCACCACTATCCTCACTATGACCACTTCTCCAAAGCCTGCCACCTCATCCCTCCTTCATTGTCCGCCACAGTCCTCTCAATCATCTAATTACTTTATTCAGGTGTGTTGAACCAATGGCACATCTTAAAGTTGCAGGATACTGGCCCTCAGGAACTGGAATTGCCAATCCCAAACCTAAAAGTTTCTGATCGCAAACTCTCTTCCAGATTCATCACTTGAAACCCAGGCATTGCTCAGTCACTCTGCGCTTCTGTTTTTCTCGTCTCTTTGATCAAGCCAGTCGTGTCTACCGGTAGTCCTCTCCTCAGACTAACCAGACAGTTCAACTGACTTCCTGCAGTTTTCCTATTCAAGATTCTTGGGTTCTCTGCATGTGGGTCAAGAAACTACAAACCAACATGGCACTTCTTGGCCTGCAATAGGAGGCATGGAGATCCTTCATTATGGGAGGGGTATCAGGAAGTAAGTCAAAGTAGTTTATATTGAAACAAAATGTTCTCTCTATCTTTCCTCATTTGCAAAGTTAAGAACTACAGGTTTAATTAATTGGTCTAAAGGCAAATGGGATCATTAGATCCATGTAAACAGGAGGTGATGACGACCATGACGTAATGATGACCATGTTATGAACCTGAGGTAATGATGAACATGTGGTAACAAGGCCAATCTGTTATTTGCTAATTTTATCACCATTTCAAATTGATTCATTTCATATCTTTAATTCGTCATATGTTCTACATTTCCCAGTTTTATCTTTTTATCAAGTTTCATTGTATGATCTAAATAAACCTTCAAAATAGAAGAGATTTAACAAAACATTTTAAAGGCTGATTAACATAAAAGTTGTTTAGAACATCTAACACTATCGTAATTTTTAAGACGAGAGTAATTTGTTTAAAGGTCTGTGCCTATTTACATAAAGACCATGTTTAGAATTTAAATGCATAAAGACTCCACGTGAAGACAAAGCGTGTTCGGTATTACAAAGGACAAGGGAGCAGCTTTCTGTTTTAAACCTTAAAGTTAAGTTTGTTTCAATCATCTTTACATTGTTATGATTTTTTTTGCTATCAAAGATTTACAGATCTGAGAATTGATCATAACTGGTCAAAGTTCATTCATACTGGTGGTTTAAAATAGTGTTTGCATAAACCGCTATGAAATAGAGGGAATGAAACTGATGACTGTAATATTGATAGTGTTTGTGCTACAGCCTGGAGGGCCAGTTTTGATGATGTGAATAAGTAAACAAGTCTTAGAGGTTGCATCCAAGAAGAACATCAGATTTGGCACATGAACTTGAATTTAAGTTAAGCGTTTAATTTCTTGCAAAAATCTAAGCCTTATTTTCTTACATTGTGGTTTATTTCTCCTAAGCAATAAAGAAAGAAAGGCCTCATTTTAATTTTTAAATGTCAGAGAAGAATGATCCTATTTGCAAGCAAATGAATTAAGAAGCTCTAACTTTCCAGGTGTCGGAGTAATAGGAATATAATGCCAGTCTGGAAACCTTGGGGTTAGATTTTAGATGCATGCTCATTGTAATTTCCGGTGCTTGTTCAGTCTCCTCCTTTTGGCTGCAAAGCTGTTGATTTACTGCTTTAATCATCAGTGGATTATGAAAACGTTACTGAGATCAACCTCTGGTGGTAACAACAAGATGAAACACGAGGTTCAGCTTCGGTTGCAGCAACTGCACTGCAGGGAAGATCTTATTTGCTTTAGGTCTGGACTAACCGAGGCATCTGTCTCCATCCTGGTAAAATCCGAGGGAGCACCCCTGAGTGCACAATCCATCCTGCAGCACGTATCCCTCCATGCACTGGAGGCAGTCGCTTCTTAGTGGGCCTTTGCAGGCGTTGCAGCTCCAATCGCACTCTGGGTAAAAAGACAGAAAAAAAGAATTAAATATCAATATTAGTTCAGATAAAATTCTGGTGTTTTTCTTCATTCAATTCTGTATAAATTAGTTAAAATTGTAAAATGTGTGATACATTTCTAATAGCCTTCTATATCATTTTAATAAAGCCTAAATGTGTCTTTCTGTCTATTGTACCATGATTTTATCCTTTTATTACATACTGTACCTACACAAACAATATGACCATTACTATTACTTTATGTATTACTTAATTACTATTTGAATAATTTACAATCTAATATTTAATTTCAAATCTAAACAGCCTTTTGTGTTGAGTTTTAACACATATCAAAAGGATTACAAATAATACCAATGGGTCTCATTTATCCTTATATTAACTGAGGCTTTTTTTTTTTTAAGAGCTCCCTGAGATCTCCCAAAAGCCTCTCTAGTTTTCTGTGTTAAAATGTTTGTCTTGTTTTCACTAACTTCAACTTCATCCAGGGTTCAGGTCTGGGGCATAAACAGCATTGTGACCTGGATGGCTAAAACTGGCTCAATGGGAGGCACTGCCTGTGGCCACAGAAGAATTTAAACTTTTCACCTCAATGCCACACAAGTATTTTTCTCTTAACTGCTAATCCTGAATCAAGCAAGAAACCCAGCGATCTCCTCCCCATGGAAACAATTCCTGCATGTCCCAGAAACCAGGAAAATCTCATTACACGGAACCAAACCAGAGATAAAGGGAAATGTGAGAGGCTGATTTTTGTAAACTAAAGTGAAAATCTGAGTAAAGCACATGTGACAACTGGTTCCTTATATTCCTTACTCCCTTTAGTATTGGTTTGACTTAGAGAAAATGAAGCCAAGATAGTCCTATATGTGGTAAATGAAAACCTTCAGTCATGTCAGCTTTAACTATGGAGGACTTAAAATGGAAGGCAGGAGAATAAGCATCATCTCTAAAGGAAATAGGACATGAAAACCTTATCATTTATTTTGCTCTACATACCAATGATTTGATTAGTCAAACAAAATATCTGTCACCTGGCCTTCTTAGAAAAAAAACAATCCTTTACCTTTTCAAAAATTATTCAAGTCTGATCTAAAGACAACACCATTTCCCACTGGGTAAAAATTGCCTCCATGGAAGAGTTTGAAGACCGAAACCCCTCACAGAATGATGGTCCAGTTTTGGAACAGAAAGCAAGTTTTTGTTTGATATGTACCAAAAAACATCTTTATCATTCCTAGGAAATGGTTGTCAGTTTGGACTGATAAAACATATTTGGATATTTGGTATTCTGTTTAGGAAGATTGCATAATATTTTATTTGTATGGTGATGATCGCCAAATTTACCTTCCTCTAAAACTATGGAGGTAGAGGAGTATCAAAATTAAACTAGCATATGTGATCCACACATGCAGCAGCACCTTTTTTGTAATTACTTGATTAAAAAAAAAATATATATATATATTTAACTATAGATAAATATCCTTTATCGCAAGATATATTAAGCTTATGAAGTTATTGTTTTGGTCCATATCTCCAAGTTTCATGGTTAAAGCATCTGATTTACATGCAAAGTAAACCAGCAACGGTTCTTCGTGGCATCCCAGCGTTGGGGCGCAGGAGCGTTTGTTACTGGAGTTCAGAAATTAGAACTTTTGCTGCTTAAAGCAGAGCTTAAACCAATCAGCAAAGTTAATCCAGGTGTTTTCTTTGAGGAAGACGTTACATGCAAGTCATGATCACTACTGCAGAGCTGTTAGCATATGAAAAATGAATACATATAAATGTAAAAAAACAAAAACAGGAGAGCGGATTGTTATGTATAAAGAAAAGAGAGCAAGCTCTTATTATTATTAATCCACTAAAACATTTTCTTAAAGAACTGTTGCAAAACAGTTTATAAATACCTAAAATAACAAAAAGCTTAAACATTGTGGTGAAAAATATTCTATTTTATATTCTGGTAATTGCAGTTTTTACCACAAACCTAAAAAGAACGCGTTAAATTAATTTTCAGCCACAATAACGACAGCAACAACAATAAGAACAGAATGTTTTGGTCTTAATCCTGATGAACTGAGAGCAGAGATTATGATTTGAGGCAAGCTTTCTCACTTAAAAGTGTGTTAAAACTATTTTTTCCAACTGATCAAAATAAATAATGCTTAATGATGTGCATCATTATACAAGCAAAACAGTAACTCCAGAGTTTCGCAGAAGTTTGATCTGTCTAGTGACAAGCTGAAATGACACCAGTGTAGTGCGATCAAATTTGAAATGAGGAACAACTTGCAGTCAGCCCTGGTCTGCAACGGTCTTTTGCTTAGAGGGGTCACTACAAACACACCCCCAGAAAATATAAATCACTCTCTCTAATGACAAAGCCAAAAGGGCAACTGTGATAAATAAAACATGTAGGGACCGTTAAAAAAAAAAAAAACAAAACAATATGTAGCCTTTAAACGTGTGCAATGCTCCTTTTAAAGGTGGGTAAGATGCACAAAACAAAAAAATGTTCTTTCGTAACAAAAATCTAAATTTGATGATAATGATGCCTTATGGCAAAGAGAATCACAGCAATCAATCAGGGCAGGGCTGGTGCCTGCCTCTGGCAGATCCAATCAAACACTAGCCGATGGGAAAATAAATCAATTTTTAGCATATTTACTTTAACTTCAAATTCCTCTTAGCTTTCAAAGCTGTGTGTTAGAAAAAAACACTTATTAAAAAAATTAAACATGCATTCTACCTGCACTGCAATTTCCTAAGTAATTATAAAAAAATGTCAAGGTGAACATTTCCAAAGCCAGGAAATAGTTTATGTAAATACTGGATGGCAGCAGAATTTACTTAATTAGTGACCAGGGCCTGTAGCTGGTTATGCTAAAGGCATAAACAATGCTCCTTACTACATGAGCTGTCCATGGCCGTTGCAATAATTATATGCATGTCCTTTTCACAATTAAAAGCTATCCAATCAGACCCCACAGATTCACAAAAAGATGTCTTCTACTTACTCTGTTTCTATCAATCACTACATAAACAGAATAATTATAAATCTACAACTCCACTCTGTGCTTTCCTGTTTACCCACAACATTTATCTGCTTCTCAAAACAGAAACAAGCATAAGCATGAATGGAAGCTATTGTAGAAACTGGACAAGGTAACATCAATCCCTCTAATATCTCACCACATTGAGCTTTTGCTAAAAACCTTATTCACATAGACTTTTTCATAAACAGCCTTTAAACTTGTTAAAAGTCTGCTCAAACATATAGTAGGAATCTACTTTGCTTTGCCACCCCTACTGTTGGGGCGACAGTGACGTCAGAGTTTGCCCTTCAAACGTAGGCCTCTGTCAGTGAGCCCCAGGGCAGTTGCGGCTACGGCGTAGCTTGCCACCATCAGTGTGTGAGTGTGTGCATGAATGGGTGAATGAATTAATGTAGTGTTAAGCGCTTTGGTCAAGTCCTATTGCCATTTAATGTTAGGATGACCAGACATCCCGTCTTTGGACCAACTGTTCCTGGTAAAAGGTGTTGCATGAAATGTCTCTGATTTACAATTTTCATAATGCAAAAAAAAAAAAAAAAAATTTAATCTCTTGTCAAGGTAGCTTTAAAAGTGTGTAAACAAAGCGTGTTGCACATGACAGCTATTAAAGGAGCGGTTTAGGACAAGCAAAGGATAAAAGGGCAATGCAGGGGGTTGTCCCACCTTTTCTTTGACATTCTGAGTTAATTAACAGCAGACTTTTACCAGGACAGAGTCTGGATCCTCTGATGAGTGATGGAGGTGAGGTGAGGACAGAGGAGGCACATTGAACCGATACCTGCAGTAAGCTGGGCTGATTTCAAAACATTTAATCTACATGATAATCAAATCTATATCCTTCATAAATCAAATAAAACATCAGAAAGATCATTTTGGTTGATATTCTACAGAGAAATTAGTTTGCAGCCTGTTGTTAATCTGGATAACCATAATTTGAGTTGTAAAGAGGTAAAAAGAGACCTTCCCTATTATTCTTAATTTACAGAACACTTGAAATGTTAACATACTTAAAGTAGCCTATGTCTTTCTTTTTTGAATATTTAGAATACAAGCCGGAGTTTGCATTTTATAGATCATTATATACAAAAAGAATAAAACAATAATGAATTTTTTTCTATAAGATGGTGAAAGCCTCCAGATCCATAATTATCTCTATTCTTTCTATTTTACTCTTTTTCTTTTTTTCCTTCCTAAAACAAAGAAACACAGGATGAAGGCTGCACAATTACTGTGATGAAATTACACTGGCCAAGACAGCTATAGATATAGCAAACCTACTTACATTTATCTTCTAACATCGAAATTGACAGTTAGGAAGAACACCTATTTATCGCAAAAAAATTACATTTGTTGTTTATATAAACATGACATGTATATTTTGTAACCTTCCCTAATCTAATAGTATTTTAAAGGTCAAATAAAGAGCATCGATTGCAGCCAAGGAGTAAAATTTGAGCAGAGTGTACAGATTTTCATCTTGGAAAAATATTTTTCTCTCTAGTGCAATTTACTGTCTGTGTAATCAGATGACTCAGATCCTGTGTGGCAACAAAAATAAAATCTAATTATCGAGGCGCCTAATCAGAAAGGAGGTTGTTAAAAAAGTGAAGTATAAACACAGCACTAATATAAAGAATATCTAGGACTATTACAAAGAGGAATCAAGTTATTAAAAGTACCCAGGCTTAAAAAAAAATCCCCATAGTTTTTTGTGAGACTCATTAATCAACTTCACTGGGCAAAAGAAGATGTAAGATAGAGTTAAAATGAACACACAATGGTTCAGATTTGCATATCTGGTCCCAGAGTTTATTACTTGATTGATGGGCCCCATAAAATCACTGTGGCCTCCTGCACTACATGCAATATGGATGGAGAGTAATTTATGGATATCATAAAAGGGTGCACACTGTATCCTCATTAGTAATCAAGATCTTCCTCCTCTCTGTGCACGGTTGGCATCAAGGTAGCTTACCTCTGCAGGCGCGGGTCGTCACATTTAGGTAGTACTGATGTGCACAGCTGTCGTATTGGCATTCTCCAAAGAGCAGCACCTTGGTCGGGTCACGGCAGGATGTACAAACCCCAGCAGTGTCACATGTCAGGCACTGTTGGTCACAGGCTGCCAAAAAAAAGGTTGATTTAAAGGTCAGGACAGACATAGAGAAAAAGATCAATATAACACCTGCAGCCAACTAATAAGCTATGGATTTACCTAAAGTCATCCCCTTTCCTTAATTTTACTGTAGTATCTTTCGTCTTCTCTTTTCTTAACATAAAAAGATGTTTAAGTTTGTTTTTTCTTTAATGTGCATTTTTCAAGATTTAATCGAAATAATTTTGCTTAAGATTAATGTAGCTTAACCAAAATGTAAACAATCTTCTGACAGTGCACTTAAGATAATGTTTTGGATTGAAAAACAAAACTTCTTCAGGGAGAAAACACAATTAAAATATTCTATTTTATTTCAGCATTTCCAACAAACATAAAAACAATAAACCTAATTAAATGTGCAAATGTGTATTACATTGTATAAATTAATTATCAACCTTATGAGTAAAAGAAAACCAACTATAACTGAAACACATTCATTTTGACATTGATTTATGTCTTTTTCTTCCCACAGGTCAACATTAAGAGGATACCTGTGTGGAAAGCTGAATATTCCTGCACAAGAAAGTCACTCCTTGGATATAAATGCTGTCTGTTTGGAACCAATGTGTTTTAGTTTTCTAAGAATGCAACATTTAATGTTGTGTAAACTAACTGCTTGTTACAGGGGACCCAGGATTCAAAGCAGACAGACAGACTGATTATTTAAGAGGCGTTTATTAAAAAACAAACTCTATAAACAGCGGCTGGGGCATCTATTGCAGGAACCTCTGGTTTAACCGTTCAGTCTGTGCCCAGAGAACGAGACAAGATCCAGCCGGTGGGCTGCCAACAAGCTGTGGAGAGCTGATCAGAGTGTACCAGACACTGCAGCCCCTAGAATAGAGAACCAGCAGGAATCCAGATTTAAGGCAGATGAAGGAAGGCAGGAAAATCCAGAGGGCGAAGCCAAAGCAGGTGCCGAGGACGTGCGCAGGATTCAGAACCAGGAGATCAGAAGCCCGAAGAGGTTCTGAAGGTAAATCCAGGTCAGTGACAGGAAACAGCTCTAAGTTCAGCACACAGGCAGAATCCAACGGGAATCCACAGACAGGTGAGGTAAACAGATTAGATCGGAACAGGCAGGCTCAGTGGTTGAGAGACAGAACAGGTCAGGTAATCAGAAACACTAAGGTAACGCTGAAATGTTCTCACCACTGGCTCGAGAATAATCTCGACCGATAACTGGAAGCATGCAGGTAAAAACAGATCAGATGGGAACAGATGGGCTCAGTAGTAGAGAGGCAGAACAGGTCATGAGAAACACTAAGGTAACGCTGGACAAACTCTCCACACTGTCTCGAGAATAATCTGGCCCTAATGACTGGAAACAGGCAGCTTAAAGAGAAGCAGGAGCAGGTGGATCAGATGAGCAGTAATGAGAAACCGGGCAGAATTAGACAAGTGAATGAAATGAGTAATAAAGCCAGTCATTGGAGCCAAGATCGTGAAACTGTTTCTTAGTGATTTAAGAACAATATTGATAACACCATGTGGCTTGATATTTTCAATGTAAAATGGATCAATTTATTAGTTTAGAAGTGAACTTCAAGGTAAGAACATGTAAGCTAAGACCTAATTAACTTGAACAATCAAGCAGGTGATGCTTCTACCGTCACTCAGCTGATGTATCGCTAGACTTCTTGTCAAGCCTTTTTTTCCTCTGGAACTAAAGGTCATTTTCCTAAAACCTTAAGACTATTTAGATGACAGTGTTAGCAGAAACTATTGGCTACCATTTTAAATATCACAAGGAATGATAACACAAAGGATTATAATTCTGATATTTCTGTTCTTTTAGGATCCAATAAATATTTCCTCAAAGTAAAATGCATAAAGCAGCATAAGTAAAGCAGGCTAAATGTTTGCATCAAGAAAAAGCACGGTCTCCATGCAAAGAGTGCATCTATGATATGTAAAGATGCCATAAGCCAGAGGTTACCAAACTTTTCCCATTGGGCACCACCAGTTACCGACTCCCATCCCAACACCCCAACCTTTTCGACAGTCAAGCATAGAAAAGTCACTGTGGCAGTTTACATACTTCAATAAAAAATCTACTGAAACTACCTTTAAATAACAACAACTAGTGTTGACCTGATGCCATTTTTTGGCCCCGATACCTGGCTGTGCAGTATTGGCCGATACCGATACCATAGCGATACCATCTGTTTGAAATTGATATGTGTGTGTGTGTATATACAGGTAAAAGCCAGTAAATTAGAATATTTTGAAAAACTTGATTTATTTCAGTAATTGCATTCAAAAGGTGTAACTTGTACATTATATTTATTCATTGCACACAGACTGGTGCATTCAAATGTTTATTTCATTTAATTTTGATGATTTGAAGTGGCAACAAATGAAAATCCCAAATTCCGTGTGTCACAAAATTAGAATATTACTTAAGGCTAATACAAAAAAGGGATTTTTAGAAATGTTGGCTAACTGAAAAGTATGAAAATTAAAAATATGAGCATGTACAATACTCAATACTTGGTTGGAGCTCCTTTTGCCTCAATTACTGCATTAATGCGGCGTGGCGTGGAGTCGATGAGTTTCTGGCACTGCTCAGGTGTTATGAGAGCCCAGGTTACTCTGATAGTGGCCTTCAACTCTTCTGCGTTCTTGGGTCTGGCATTCTGCATCTTCCTTTTCACAATACCCCACAGATTTTCTATGGGGCTAAGGTCAGGGGAGTTGGCTGGCCAATTTAGAACAGAAATACCATGGTCAGTGAACCAGGCACGGGTAGATTTTGCGCTGTGTGCAGACGCCAAGTCCTGTTGGAACCTGAAATCTCCATCTCCATAGAGCAGGTCAGCAGCAGGAAGCATGAAGTGCTCTAAAACTTGCTGGTAGACGGCTGCGTTGACCCTGGATCTCAGGAAACAGAGTGGACCGACACCAGCAGATGACATGGCACCCCAAACCATCACTGATGGTGGAAACTTCACACTAGACTTCAGGCAGTGCTGTTTCTTGGTCAACAATGGCTTGACACGAGGTATGCGGCAGTTGAAACCCATGTCTTTCAAGCGTCTCTTGGTGGTGGATCTTGAAGCATTGACTCCAGCAGCTGTCCACTCCTTGTGAATCTCCCCCACATTTTTGAATGGTTGTTTTTTTCACAAACTTGACTAGGGCGCGGTGATCCCTATCGCTTGTACACTTTTTCTGACCACAGTTTTTCCTTCCCTTTGCCTCTCTATTAATGTGTTTGGACACAGAGCTCTGAGAACAGCCAGCCTCTTCAGCAATAATCTTTTGTGTCTTTCCCTCCATGTGCAATGTGTCGATGGTCGCCTTTTGGACAGCTGTCAAATCTGAAGTCTTCCCCATGTTTGTGTAGGCTTCAGAACTGGACTGAGAGACCATTTAAAGCCCTTTTCAGGTGTTTTGAGTTAATCAGCTGATTAGTTTGTGGCACCAGGTGTCTTCAAAATGTAACCCTTACACAATATTCTAATTTTGTGACACACGGAATTTTGGATTTTCATTTGTTGCCACTTCAAATCATCGAAATTAAATGAAATAAACATTTGAATGCATCAGTCTGTGTGCAATGAATAAATATAATGTACAAGTTACACCTTTTGAATGCAATTACTGAAATAAATCAAGTTTTTCAAAATATTCTAATTTACTGGCTTTCACCTGTATAAAGAACTGCCTACTACTTGGATGTAAAATAAATGCCATCATGGCTTTGTCAAGCTGCTGCCTACCTTTGTGAAGCAGGAAAAAGACTAATACAAAGTGAATCCAGTAGAACTTTTTATTGCCTACCTGGAATGGGTGACGATATTTAAATAAACTTTTGGCTCTCAAAATGGTATCTGTGTCCTATTTGTTGGTACCCTGCAATACCGATACCACCATTTTTGTGCTGGATCGGGGTCCTGCCCGATAACGGTATCGGCATTGGTCCAACACTAATAACTACCACATTTAAAGTGTAATTACTTGAATTTCAACTGTTTATTTCAATGTGTAACTGAAAGTAACATTTCTGTTAGTATGGTTTATTTGTTTAATTCATTTAAACCATGGGAACCACTTGAATAGTCCAAGAGTCGAGCGTTAAACAGTAATGTTCAGGATCAGATGAAAATGTTTCAAATTAAAACCAGGCAGTTCACTTCTGTTGTTTTAGAAATACCTTATCTCCACAGTGCTATAATTGTTTCTTCAGATCTGTTGGATTTTAACCATCAGCATAGACTTTTCTGGTCCCCTGCTACTTACACTGACAGATCCGATGGCCATTGTCATAGTAACCAAAGGGACATTTGGCAGCACAGAGACCAGAGGGCAGCAGAACGCTGTTGGGAGGGCAGGAAGTACAGGACATATGGCCCTCTCCACTGCAGGACTCACATGACGGATGGCATTCTGGGAAAAAAAAGAAGGGAATAAGTTCAATTAAAATGGAAGAAGGGATTAAAACGTAAATAAAAAGATTAGGATAAAAATGAAAGGCATTACAGTAAAACATTTAATATGAATGTTTGAAAACTGTTTCTTTCATATCAATAAAATGCTGTTTATATTTGTGAACGAATTCTTGCTTTTTCCAAACACCTTAACTTTCTTTTCTGAAAATGTGTAAAAAAAAAAAAAAAAAAAAAGCCTGACTTACTTTTTAAAATCTGATCATCATGACCACCTCAAAAGATTAGAGGACGGCCCGGCTAATATATGGTAAATATAATGAACTTAAGACTAGTTTTAAAACATTCTTTACAAAGATGGAGAACACCACTTCAAGCTGCTGAATTTTCATATTCCTATCAGAATAAATTTGTAACTGCACGCTCTTGAGCTCAAAAATTCATATTTAAAATATTCAGTAATCACAATCAAGTGTGCAATCATTCCAAGAGCTCTCCAGTCCTCAGGCTGTCACCAAAAAATTATAGTAAAGTAGGTATTTTCAGCTTCAATTCTGATCAGAATAAACGCTACATACAATAAGATATTGCTGCTTCGGGTTCTGTTAAATGAGCCTCCAGAGGCTTTGCAGCCCAAAGCCGCCTCCTCCTCCTCACATTTGCATTTAAATCTGCATGAAGCTACAGCAGCTCTGCATGGCTGCATCTCTCTTCTACTCCTTACCTGCTGAATCACAGGATGAGGATAGTAAAAAAAAAATGATGATGATAATGACCCTGGCTGATGAAGATGAAAAAGCTAATGAGGTTTAGGACCATAAGATAAAGAAGGGGGGATGATAAAGGTGATGAGGCTAATGAGGAGATAAATAGGAATTAGGGCAACGATGAGTCGTCAGTATAAAGGGATGAGAACACTGATGGTTATTATGAGGATGATGACCATAATACTGAGGAGGATAATGGAGATGAAAGGATGGAGTGTAAAGACGATAAAGAATAAGAAACACTACACAAATAAAGAGGAAGAGCAATGGGAACAAAGTGGAAACCATGTGGGATGAAAGTAATGAAGAGGATGAGAAACTGAAAAACAAAAAAAAAGATTGAATTTAGGAGGGACAATTTCCTCAGAAGAGCAGTTTATGGAGCGAACAGGTGGGTATTAGGACAAAGCCAAGATGGAAAGACATCAGTAGTGACCTTAAAGGAGCTGCTGTCAATCAATCCTGAAAGATCTTTAAGGCCACTTATGGTTAAAGTTCATCTTGATTCCACAGAGTGCTTGTTCAGAAGCATCAAAACTTTTAGGGCAGCGTAATCTTCCAAGAAGTGGATGTCCCAGCATATTCACTCCAATGTCAAAAGGTTCAATGCTCAGAGAAATGCCAAAGCTCTAATGCACACTGTAAAAGTCGCAGTTAGGATTTTATACAACAAAGTTTAAAAGGAAAGCAATATGGCTGCACTATTTGCATAGTTTGCAAAGGTAACATCTCTGTATTATTTCTGGAACAATCTTTGGAGAAATGAGAACAAAGTTGGGATATTAGGCTTTAATCTCCAGCTCCATGTTCCAGCATAAATCTTACAAATCCTCTCATGTTTCTTCCAGCTTTGCATGGTTTCATTTTCATGATCAAACCTTTCTGAGTGGATACCATATTCCACTAATGTGGATATAAACATAATATGAAATAGGCAAAGTGCTCAGTAGAGGTTTATATTTACTGTTTTGTTTGTGACCTCACTAGCTGCGTTTCTATTACAAATGTAATCAATACTATAAATATCGATATAGTGCTCATTTTGAAAATGCACATTTTCATAATTACTATATTTTAATTAAATGCCAAATCAAATTTAAATTGCAAGTAAATACATTAATTCTTGTGAAAAATGCCTCTAACCAACTTTTTACTGTAAAACATTTTTTTTTTTTTTACATTGTAGTGTTTCCATTTAGCAGATTTGTTTTTGTATTCACAATTTGCACAATGTTAATGGTTAATAGAAACATAGTTACTGATGAGTCAACAATACTTCCTAGTAAGCCAGCCACTCTTTGGTAGTTCCCCACTGCCGTCCATTTGAGGATGTTGCCTCTCTCTGTGGTTCTAAAAACCCCAGGCCCTTAAAATGAACTTTTAAGTAATTCTACACCTAATGATGTCAAAAACTGAGATTATGGCCTTTTAAGATCTTTTACCTACTTAAAGATGTTGAACATGCTCTTAATTCTACATGTTTGGTAGTTAACAGGCATGATGAAAACCTAAGAACCATTAATGCATGGTTTAAACAGAGAGTCAATTACTTTTTCATACTGAGGCAGGTATAAAGCTCTTTTTTCTTCTTACAGTTTTTCTTTTGTATTTTATAGAAAATACTGAGATAAATTGTTAAAGGTGGCAGATATTTGTTCAGAGTAATCTGCATTATGCTGCCGATGCTTAAAGGAAAGTTGAGATATTTGTATTCTATGACAAAAAAAATGTGTTTTTCTTATTTCAATAAAACGGAAACACTTCAATACATCCTAGGATGCATTCTTTGTTGTTGAGATTTAATTTATTTTTTCTGAGCGTGTTTAAATGCTCATTATTTGCAGCTCTATAAATCTGTTAGAGCGTGATTTTTGCTGAAAAGATTCTATTAAATATAAAATATCAATCTTTTGTTTAACCAAGAGGCTCTGCTGGATGTGCATCAGGCAGAAATTACAAGGAGGTACAGCAACCTGTGTTGTTACCATTTCTTCTGCTTCTTATTATCACAGAATAAGAGGGTCGAGAACCAACTTCCACAAAGTCAGAAAGGTCTTTAAGCTGATGGATGAATAAAATATAGAATCTCTGATCTGATTTTAGCTCTGTTTCACATTCAGACAGCTGCTATTGACCTTTGACCTCTGTACATTTAATAATGAGACAGAAGGGTGAAAGTGCTTACTGATGCAGGCTCCATGCCGTTGATAATGATCGGGGGGACAGCTAGGGACGCAGTGATCACCGAGCAGCCAGGTCCTCTTTGCTTTGCACCACAAACAGACACTGCCGATGCCGTTCTGGAGATCCGCCGTGCAGCGCTGACAGTCATTACTGCACTCTGGGGATAAAACACAGGAAATAAGACTTTTTATTTCCTCTGGTAATCATACTGTGAATGGGAAAACTACAGACTTTTGCTAAAGCCATCCAAGCAAGGATAATGACCTCTTCAAGATTTTTTCATTTTTTTTTTCATTGAGTATAGGGGAATAATATGTGTCAAATAAAGCCTGATGAAAACAAAGCAAACAGAGATTTTTTTTTTTAGACTAGAGATGAAAATCTGTCAAAACCATGGCATGTTTTATTATCTTTAAACGTGAGTCTAAAGACAGAGGAGACTGTTACGGCCAATGATTTTAATTCATACATATTGATAGTGATTAACTAAAACAAATAAGTATATATATATATATATATATATATATATATATATATATATATATATATATATATATATATATATATATATATATATATATATATATATATATATATATATATATATATATATATATATATATATATCATACCATATATACATTTGTTATGTAAAAGACAAAGCTTTATTTTTGTAACTGTCATAATAACAGACTAAAAATGTCCTGTTCTAGATCAGTTAGGGGGAGTGGTGGCCTAATGGTTAGGGCATTGTGCTTGGAATCTCGAGGTTCTGAGTCAAGCCCAGCTCACACACACTAACACTATGGGTCCCTGCGCTGCACAATGGCAGCCCACTGCTCCCCAAGGGAATGGGTTAAATGCAGAGAGTTCATTTCGTTGATATGTACTTGTGATAGTGCAATGACAATAAAAAAGCTGGGGGGGAAAAATCAGTTAGGATCACCAAAGTTTTTTTTATCTATTACTATGTTGAATATGATGAGAGATAATAAAATGATTTTTTTCTACTTTAAATTCACTGCTCTAAATTTAGCTGGTGAAGATAATCAGTCATCCAGATCATAGTCATTCCAAAAAAAGTTTAAAAAAACAATCCACAGGACTTTGTTTCCAGGTTTTGAAGACATTTTGAATCCCATCCAGGAAGCTTAAATGTCAGAAATAGCGTTGAGTTGAGGTTTTTTACAGTACCCCATCAAAACCTTGTTTTTAGTTTGAAAACATGCAAATTGAAACGGACAAAGGGCCCACCCCTTTCCGCTATCATCGCAACCCCAACCCCTGCATAGGCAAGATCAGAAGACCTTGCCTTTTCAGTCAGGCCATTTAATCACCCCCCCCTTTCAGAGACTTAGACTGGCATGGAGCATTGCAGGCTAACAAAAGAAGCTAAACAACCCCCATTCTAAAGGGGTGGACCCATTCGTCCATTTCAATTAGCATATTTCCAAAACAAAAACAAGGTTTTGTTGGGCTACTGTATAAAACCTCGAACTCAATACTATTCTTGACATTTTGAATTGAAAAAGCTTCTTTGATGGGAAGCGAAATGGCTTCAAATTTGGAAACAAACTCCATGATATATTGTCCAGGTTGTTGTATGTTGGCCTTGTAGCTCAGTGGTTACAGGAAGAAACCTCTACAGACTGAGTCATCATCGCCCCATCAAGGCATCATCAAGAAGAGTTTATAGGTCGCACACAATAGGTCTTCCAAATGATTAATTGCCCTTAAATGTATCACTAAATTAGTTATGCATGGGCTTAAGGACAACAGCATCACTGATCTGGAGTGGCCATAATAAACCGCTGATATCAGAGCCATTAAAATTCTTTGGGCAGAGCTGAAAGGATGTGTTTGATAGAAGCATAAGTCTCCAAACGTGATCCAGTTGCACCACTTGTGTGAGAAGTATTGGGCTTAAATTCCTGCTAACTGATGCACAAAGCTTTTAAAGAGAAACCCAAAATTTTTATAGGAATCATTTTGACAACAATAAATTAGGTTCCTTTTTTGTCAGGCAATGAGGAAAAGAAATTTAATTCTAATTCTAATTTTTAGAACCGCTCTTAAACAGACATAATGTCTAATGGTTTCTTTGTAGATTATATACTGAGACCATTCCTGTATGGTGGTAAGTTACAAATGTGACCATGTCCAGTATTTCAAAAACAAAAAAACTCTGAGCAACAACAAATAAATCCAGAAACTTTCAAATCACAAGATATGTGTAAATATATTTACTTCATGTTTTTTTTTATTCACCAAAAAAAGTAGTTGTGCCCAGCAACGGAGAAGATTTCTTTCCATATTTGACAGTATCGCATTTTCTATGATAGAAAATCATTTTAATTGCACATGGTTCCTGCTGGTAGCTCTGCTGCCTTGCAAAGAGAAGGTCCCTGGTATGAATCCCAACCTGTGGTCTTTCTACATGATGTTTGCATGTATTCTCTGTGCACTAGTGGTTTCTCTCTGGGTACTCTGGTTTCCTCTAAGAGTCTAAAAAGCTTAAACTTAAGGTAAAATGTTTTTTCTAAAATTGCAGGCTAATAAATAAGCCAAACGACCTCCATTCCGAAGGGGCGGACCCATTCGTCCGGTTCATTTTGCATGTTTTCTAAGCCAAAATAAGGCATTGTTGGTCTACTCTATAAAGCCTCAAACTCAAAACAATTCCTGACATTTTTAATTGAACAATCTTCCTGGATGGGAAGCGAAACGTCTTCAAACTTGGAAATAAAGTCCAGTTGAATATTTTTTTTTTTTTTTTTACTTTTTTGGCACGACTATGACCTGGATGACTGAGAATCTTTACCAACCTTTTTCTCAATTCTCTTAGTTATGAGTTCAGGCTTTTTTGCATGTGTTTGCTTTGTGTTGCCCTGTGATGAACAGATAATCTGTTCAAGGAGGTACTTGTCTATCAGCAATTAAATACTGCGGGCAAGCTCAAGTTACATAAGAGATGGACGAATGGATTACCAGGTGTGTCATTTAAATTTCAAGCTTAAATATTTGGTGTTACTTAAATTTAACTTTGGTTAAAAGTCCATAAATCCTTATAACTAAACCTTTTCCAACCCAAATCTCCAACTTAAGCACCAAGCAACTACAGTAGCAGCCATTCAAAATAGCTCTTCCCAGTCAAAAGCCAGCCGAATGGCAGCAGAATCCCCTCCAACTTCCAGCCATTGGCATTCTCATGGCCATGCATATTTTTTTACTCTGACTCCACCCTTTCATTGAATTACGGGGTCTGACCAGGAGATGACGCTCCTCTTTAGATCTTGATGTCCAAAAATAATGACATAAAGAATATTTTTGATGTTTGAAAAGGAATTGCAGGGGACCAGCCAAGGACCGGTCAAGGACCTGCCAAGGACCAGTCAAGGGCCCATCAAGGAAAGTGGTGAAATTTTGAATGGCTACTATTGTAATAAAATGAGATAAATGTACTGCATGTCTACCTTACTGAGCACATAATTTGTATGGCTGTTTGAGTCCACAATGCCCTGCTCTTCTTTACTTACTGAAACCTGAGTCTCTTTATTATTGTCTCCCACAGCAGATAGGAGCTGACCCACATGCTTCAGACACAAGAACAGCCCAGTCAACCAGAATGTCTTGAGATTAGCTCAACAATGGCAAACACCTTGAGGTGTTTTATCAGATGGAGTCTGGGTTTAGTTTATCTGCCTCGATGGTGGGGACCTTTCAGCTGTCTGGCTCTGCAGAGATAGTCATCAGCAATGAAGAGCAGAACATGGAGGGCTCTGCAGGTGACGGCTTATCTTGGGAGAAGGGAAGACAACAAAGACTGGCCACACAAAGGGGCATTAGGGAGAGAAGATTTCCCACCATTTTTCTGTATCACTCAAAAAAAAAAGAAGTCCAACACAAAAAGCCAGTTGCGGGTTGGATATGTGGGAGAAAAAAAAAAAAAAAAAAGGATTTTGGGAGAATTAGCTTTAAACAACACATGGCTGAGCCCAATGTAAGCTGAATTTCTACTCAATTCTTTGGAAGGAATTTTAATTTTCAACCAGGTTGACAAATTTTTAACTCTGGTTGACATTTTTCTTCACTTTCTGCTTTTTCATGTTTTATGCAACTCCATTTATATTACTTTGATATCTTCAGTAGGCTAAATTTAGAACAGTAATAGCATTTTCCTCCAGAAGAAACAGATACTGTTTACGCCGACACATCAGCAAGGCCCTGAGGGGGAAATCATGTTTGCATTTCGTGTCAAGTCTTTAAAAAGTAGGGTTCTGAGATGTAATCGCCAAAGGTAAACAGATGGGGAATGCTACCGTTTCACACCATTTGAATCCCTCCTTGATAGATCTACTTGATGGAAATATGTCAAAAACATCCAACTGTTAAACAGATTACAGAAGAAAAAAAAAGGATTACAAAAAGGAAAATAATGTTTTCTCAGTGTTTGATGCTATATTATTATGGTAAGATATATAGTACTAATTAAAATATTAACTGAGACACTGCAGAGACAACGGCTATCTTCTAAAGAAATTTAAAACAGTAAGAGGCTTACAATAATAACAGCTTTAAACTGTTAGAATATAATAGTGCTTTAATCTGGCCAAAGGTGTTCCACAAGGATTAGTTGAAGTTCTCCTTTTTTAGTAGTTCATGATGAATCAATCAATAATCAAACACTAAAGTCTACTATTATGGTAATGTTACCATAATATCTGGACAGATTTCAGTTATCTGTAATTTATGCATCAACAATCTTTCTATGTCTAGATTTAGTATATTTTCTATAAACCTGGCTTTTATAATGTGCTTTATCTTTTCAGATGTCTATACTTAAAGGGACAATGTGTAAGAAATTCAACTTTTTATCAGCAATAATCAAGAATGGCTTTTATAAACACATATTGTTCGAAGTAATATATTATGTTCCAAATGAGTTTTCATATCTTAAAATGAGTAGTTTTATAAATGCAACAGTTTAGCCAGAAGGGTACAAACTTTATCCATTTTCTAGGGCTGCAACTAATGATTATTTTGCAAATCAATTCATCTGTCAATTATTTTTTTGATTAATTGATTTATAATCGGATAGTGAAGGGTTTCTTAAAGAAGATTTGTTTCTGAATAAAACCAGGTGAAACCAAAACCTTT